CGAGGTTTGCGCCGGAGTCGGAGCCCGAGTGGGGATGGAGGCCTGAACGGGGCTCGAGGTTTGCGCCGGAGTCGGAGCCCGAGTGGGGATGGAGGTCTGAACCGGGCTCGAGGTTTGTGCCGGAGTCGGGGCCGGGTTGGCGGTCGAGGCCCGGGCTGGGGTCAAAGTCCGGATCAGAGTTGGGGCCCCGGACGGGATGGGAGCCCGGACCGGGGCGGAGGGCCTGGCCGGGGAGGGGCCCGGGGCCCGCTCTTGGTGGTTCATGAGGACCAGGAGGGAGCGGAGGGGGCCGGTTACGCGGCTTGGGCGTGCAGCCGCGCCTCGCTTCCTCAGGCCCCAAGGTTCTAAATCTTGAGGTGACCCACAAGGGGGCACTGTGACGCCGCGTTTCCCTCGGCGGAGGTTCCACAGATCGCCCGGGGCTTCTGCCAGCCGCTGTTGAGCTTCGTGTGCTCAGCAAGTTTATGAGTGCCTACTGTGTGCACGATCTTAGGCTGCGTTATTCTGGGGACAGACGAGTGACTATACCCTGGCCTCACTAGGCTTCCTGTCCATGGGAGTGACATAGTGGCCAGGGCCAGGATGGGTTCAGTTGAACCCATTCCCGTTTATTTACTTATTTACGCATTCTGTGGGAGCGGGCGGTCCGCTCTGCAGTTCAGGCTGGGCTTGAACTCCCTTTGTAACCCAGGCTGGCCTCCAACTTGCATGACTCTTTCTCTGCCTCCTGAGCGCTGGTATTACAGACGTGTGCCAACACACGGGGCCATTCATTCTTTTAGAGACAGGGTGCTCCCAAATCTCTAGGCTGCCTAGGCTGGGCTCAAACTTTCCACCCTCCTGCCTCAGTGACCCAGATTGTGCTACCAAGCCAGGATGATGTCTGCCTTGTTCACTGCTATATCCCCAGTGCCTAGGACAAGACCTGGCATTCAGAAGGTACACAATGTTCGTGGGATTAACAAAAGAGATGAGGAACTGGAGGTTGTTAGGCAAAGAGGTAGTTTGCTGGATGAAGGTGGAGGGAAAGCCTGGCTTGTTCTAGGAGCTAACAGCGCTTGTGTGGGACCTGCAGCACCGTAGGCAGTGGCCACACAAGGACCTTCCAGGCTGGCCTCAAACTCACAACCCTCCTGCCTCAGCCTTCTAGAGTGCTGGGGTAGCAGGCATCCATCATGCCCATCTTTGTTTTGTTTTCAGTTACTTGAGTGAGGACACGAAGTAGGTGTCTTTATCCAACAGCCTGGATGGTTTCAGCCTCAAAGGGGAGAAGGCATTCCAGTGTTAGAGACTGATGATAAAAAGCAGCCTCAAGAGCTGGGGATTTAGCTCAGTGGCACACCTGCCTGGTGAGGTCGTGAGTTCGATTCCCAGTACCGGAAAGAAAAAAAAGCAGCCTCAGTTTTCTACCACCCCTTCCCCTGTCCACGGCCCTGGAAGTGAGACTCTGCCTTCTCCTAGTAAGAGGTGGGGTCTATTCCTACTTCTGGAATCGGGGCTGGTTGCATGAAGTGACAAGCTGTAGCCAAAAGGACTGCAGAGATGTTCAGTGGCACCCACTTTCACCCTAGGACCCCCATGTCAGGAAGGTGAACAAGCCAGAACCAGCCTGCTGGAGGAGAGGGGCCCAGCAAAGCCAAGCTTGCCAGGCACATCCGTGAGGCCTCCCACATCGCCCCCCCCCAACCCAGGGTGGCAGAACCCCAGCAAACCTATGGATTCTGGAGCAAGAGCAAATGTTCCATGTCTAATGCCACTGAGTTTATGCAGTATCATCCACAGCAACAGCCCACTGCCAGAGAGCCACACTGTTGTCTAACCATGTGTTCTGTTTTGTTGTGAAACGTAAGGCAAAGGCAGAAACTGCACGAAACAACTGCTATGATTTTAATGGGCCCCCAAAGTGTATGTTGGAAACTTAATCCTCAATGCAAGCTGCTACGATTTGGTAAGTGTCCCCCAAGTGTCCAGGCCCCAGGGTAGCATTAGAGGAAGGTATTGTGGGCCTAGTGAGAGGTCCTTAGGTCAGCAAGGGCGCCCTCTAAAGGAACCGTGGAACCCCAGTCTCAGTCTCAGCTCCCTGGCCTTTGAATTGAGCAATCTGCTTCTCTCATCCTGCCGGGATGTGCTATCCTCACCCCCAGGCCCCCTTGAATTTCTAGAACTGTGAGCCAAAATATACCTCTCTTCTAAATAGCCGGTGTCCAGTACTTTATTATAGGCATGAGCCACCATACCTGGCCTGTTACACATTTTTTTTTTTTTTTGTCCGTTTGAGACGGGGGTTTTACTATGCAATTCGGGCTGGCCTTGAACTTGCAAGGATTATCCCGCTTCAGCCTCCCCAGTGCTGGGATTACAGGCATATGCCACAGCCACATAATTACTTTTACTGCAGCCTGTTTTTGTTTATTTTCATGTATATTCACATTACTGCCTTAGGCCACTTGCTTGGAGCCTGAAGAACTTCCTCACCATTTCTTGCAAGGTAGGTCTGGTTTGCAAGCCTGGCACAGCACTCATTTCTGGCCAGCCCTGATCTGAGGGAGCCTCCCTCCTCTGCATATCCCATGTGATGTCAGTAGGCCAACCTTACTTCCTTCGCACAGCAAGCAAATGACAGTAATGGACAGCCTACGACAAGCCCAGGCCAATGAGAGCCTGCCTAACTACGAAGGCGACGGCAGGTAAAAACAGCCATCTGCAGAGGACACCAAGCCCGTGCCCAGCCCTCCATGAAGCTGTACCTCCCACTGGATTTTTAATTTTTTCATTATCTTTTACTGTATGGGGGACGGAGGGGGTACCTGGGATTGAACCCAGGGCCGTCTCACTGAGCTACATTCCCAGCCCATTTTTATTTATTTGTTTGTTTGTTTATTTTTATGTTGAGACAAGCGCTTACTAAGTCGTCCCGGCTAGCCTCATATTGGTCATCCTTCAGTCTGTTTCCCAGAGTGCTGAGATTACAGGCATGCGCCACCACACCTGGCTAGGGTCTTTCTTTTTTTTTTTTTTTTTTTTTTGGTTTGGTTTTTTTCCGGTACCGGGAATCAAACTCACAACCTTGTGCTTGCCAGGCAGGCGCTGTGCCACTGAGCTAAATCCCCAGCCCCATTTTTATTTTTTATACAATGTTCATTTGATTTGGCCTAAAGGGACCTCCCTACAGAGTGAACTTCAAGCCAACTGCTTGTGCAGAGACTCATAACAAGTGGCTGAATCTCACCCAATCACAAGTGGCCAACCATTCAAACCATGTTCAAATAATTGACAGACACCAGCTTTACCCAACTGGCTGCCTCTCTGTGTCACACCCCATTTCTGTATGTCACTGCCTTTTCTCTGTTCTCTGACTATAAATCCAGCCTGCCCAGGTGGTGGGAGGGAGCTTTCTGAACCATTTTTAATACTGACTGCTTCCTGACTCAGTCACAAAGCTTGTTAAGATCTGCAAAACTAAATCTGTTGTGTTTTTTTTTTTGTTTGTTTGTTTGTCTTTTTGAGACAGGGTCTCACTGCAGTTCAGGCTGGACTTGAGCTCACTTTGTAGCCCAGGCTGGTCTTGAACTCGCAACGATCCTCCTGCCTCAGCCTCCAGAGTGCTAGGATTACAGACATGTGCCTGGCCTGATCTGTTGTAATTTTGTCTTTTTACAGAAACTTTTTTTTTTCTTTTTCCCCAGATGGGCTTGGTGGGATGTACTCCAGGCTGGCATCTAATTTACTGGGTTCCCCACGTTGCCTTCAAATACTTGGGGATCCTCCTCCCTCAGCCTCAGCCCCCAGAGTGCTGGGATTACAGGTGTGTGCCACCACACCTGGCTCTAAATTCTCTTTATTTAAACCAATGTGAATGCTGTCTGACTCCTGCAATATAAAGAATGCCATCTGTTATCCTCCTCAGAACAAATCTCTTCCCCTCAGTCCTAATACCAAATACAAAGCACTTAGCCTGATGGATTTGGTCAAAATAAGAGCCTTTATAAAGATATTTCTGATGAGACAGGAAGAGAAAAAATAAGATATAAATAACCATTATGTACAACTTCCAACAGTGAAGTTCTCCCAGCCACCCCTTCAGCAAGCACTCTGGCGTGTCTGGGACAGAGAGTGGACACCACTGCACAACAAAGACGTCCAGGATCTGTCTCCAGGCGATGATCGAGAAGGCACAAGTCAGGCCTAGAAAATGAAATGAGTATAAAAAAGGAGAGGCCGGTCGTGGTGGCGCACGCCTGTAATCCCAGCACTTGGGAGGCTGAGGCAGGAGGAACACTATGAGTTCGAGACCAGCCTGGGCTCCAAAGTGAGCTCAAGGCCAGCCTGAACTTCATCGCGAGACCCTGTCTCAAAAAGACCAAAAAAAAAAAAAAAAAAAAAAAGGAAAGAAAAAAGAAGTGAGTAGGAAGCATGAGGAAAGGCTCTTTGGTCCCCTTCTCTCCTCAGGGCAAAGTTCCCACTGTGACTTCTTGAACCCGAACGACAGCAAGAGGAATGCAAACTAGAACTGTCAGAACAGAAAAGTGGGCACAGACACCCTGCCGAGACGCTGTCATCCTTGTTTCACGAACAGAATGGAGGATGGCTAGAAAACAATAGGGCTCCCCAGGCCCAGCGTGTCTCTGTGCGCACAGATCCCCTAGGAGTGTAGCTACCTCCTGAGCATAGATTGAAGAAGCAGATATGATGTAAATCGATCGAGAGTCTCCATCCTCTGGGCGACTCCAATCTCCGGTGGAGCTGTGGAAGGAAGGAAGAAGCAAGGGTCAAGACCTTGTATTCTCCGATCTTGCTTCCCTCCCACCCATCAAAGACGGAGGACCCACAGGCAGGTAAGGAAATTCTGGAAGGGCACAACCCGAAGAGGAGCACAACACGGGGCACGGGAGGGGCCAATCAAGAAGATGCATCGAATAATTATGGAGCTGGGTGCAAGCAGCCAAGAGCGACGAGGCACACGTCAGCGGCCCTCACCTCGGGCCATCCCCAGAGCCCTCCTGCGTCCTCAGGTTGTTGATTGCATCTGGGAGCGCGTGGAGCGACGGCTCCGGGGTCCCCGCCAGCAAGCGGGACCCAGTTTCCCGGCCAGGGCCTCGGCGGCGCAAGTGGATCAGCAAGAGGGCGGCGCCGGCCAAGCCCGCGGCCACCAGCAGCCCCAAAGCCGGCGGCAGAAGGAAGCGCTGCGGACCCGTCTGCCCGAGGTCGGGCGAGGCCACGGACACCGCCCCTGCGCCGCCGTCGGGGTGAACCGGGAACTCGCAGCGCGCGCCCATGTAGCCGGGCGCGCAGGCGCAGACGAGGCCCGAGAAGTGGGCGTAGC